GCAGAAAAAAGGTAATCATCACAGTAAGATCACCTACTCATCTACTACAAAAGTTTTTACTATTGTTACAAGCTGTAGAATAATTATATATTCAGTTGTACCCACACAACAGTGATTTATTGTGCTTCCATCAGTGTTTCAGTGGCTGCTGACTAAAAGCACTCTGTCTACACAGCATGATTCCCATCAGATGTGTAACCAGGTTACAGTCATACTGGCATTTGATGTAAGTCAATGAAATTTATTTGCATACTAGTAGTCGTTTTGGAGAATTCTTGCATATTTTTTATTCACAGCCTCAGCCCCCTGCCATGTACACCCTGGCCTCGGCGTACATCTCCTCAGCTCATCCCTCCCTCGCTTGTGACGCTGCTGTGCCCTTCACCAACTTCTAGGCCTAGCAAGGCCTGCTTGCACAAAATAATGTTGGCAAAGGGGATTATTTAGGCCTGTTTACAGAAAATATTGAACTACTGAAAATGCTGAGCTCTCTCTATTGACCGATAAAAATGATATGAAAGTTTCTCTTTAGGAGGCATCCTCTCCACTGATCCACAGAAACTACTTGCAGCTTCTGCTCTTACAGAAATAAAAAAATAATATATCATCATCTCATCACTTACATGTTCTCAAGACTGACCTGTGTTTCAGCACTCTTTCAGCTGGTTTATTTAATCTCTTTCCACAGTCTGATTAAACTACATATTTAAGAAGGAACCAAAATGAAGTAGAAGAGCTCTGAGATGAAGAATTGTGTGTTGTTCCTACTCCTCTCTAGAAATCCACTTAAGGCCACTGTTTTGATTGTTTTGAGTTTGGGCATTTTCTCTGTTTGAAGGGGAGACCAGCATTTATTTCAATAGAATCACAGAAAAATTTAGGCTTGAAGGGATTGCTGAAAGTCATCTAGTCCAACCCTCTGCTCAAAGCATAGCCAACTCTGAAGCTACACCAAGTTGCTCAGGGTCTTGTTCAGTGGGCTCTGAACACCTCAGGGATGGAGGTTGCATGGCCACCCTGGGCAAAACGTGACCAGTGTCTGACCACCTGCATGGCTAAAAAAAAAATAATTTAAAAAGTCCTTCTATTAACTTGTGGCACTGCTTGAAAAGAGAGTGTCACTTTCCATCATAGAACTGTTTTTCAGTTCCTTGTAAGTCTTGCTGTCGTGGTTTAACCCCAGCCAGCAACTAAGCACCACGCAGCCGCTCACTCACTCCCCCCCCCCCCCCAGTGGGATGGGGGAGAAAATCAGGAAAAGAAGTAAAACTCGTGGGTTGAGATAAGAAAGGTTTAATAGAATATAAAAAGAAGAAACTAATAATGATACTGATAACACTAATAAAGTGACAGCAGTAATGATAAAAGAATTGGAATATACAAATGATGCACAGTGCAATTGCTCACCACCCACCGATCGATGCCCAGTTAGTCCCCAAGCAGCGATCTCCCCAGGCCAACTCCCACCAGTTTCTATACTGGACATGACGTCACATGGTCTGGAATACCCCTTTGGCCAGTTTGGGTCAGCTGTCCTGGCTGTGTCCCCTCCCAACTTCTTGTGCCCCTCCACCTTCTTGCTGGCTGGGCATAAGCAGCTGAAAAATCCTTGACTTTAGACTAAACATTACTTGGCAACAGCTGAAAACATCAGTGTTATCAACATTCTTCTCATACTGAACTCAAAAAACAGCACTGTACCAGCTACTAGGAAGACAATTAACTCTGTCCCAGCTGAAACCAGGACACTTGCATATATCCACGTAACATAATTCAGTGTCATCTAGTTACCTGAGCCCAACCTATCATCTGCTTAAATCAATGTTTAGGGCCCTCTCCACCAGCCCAAACCACAAATGCCACCCTCATCCATCTGCATACCACTTCATGTACAAATGCCATCCTCATCACTGTTGAAGAGAGGAACTCTCCCTGATTTGTGGACGGCTTGTCTCTCCTCCAGGTTGTTCTGCTTCTTGTCAGTAGGGAAAGGAGTGAAGAGCAAGCAAGGGAACATGGAATTCCTACATAAATGTGCTATAAACTACAATGTGTGACAAATTTCCAGAGATAATTCAGAGCTAAATGAAGCTAAGAGGCAAACCCATCTTCCAGGACTGTGCCGGACAGGGCTGCCACTACCTAAACACAATGTTTACTACGAATTTCTCATGGTCTGCGGTCCTGGGTGTGTTAAAGGTTGATTCAGGATCAGCATACACACGACAGTACCTGAGAAAGCAAGTTAATTAGCCCCCAAAGGGCTGGCACTCGGCAAGTTCTGGAAGAGCTATCTCAGGTACAGAACCATGCACCTTGGAACGCACCTTTGCTAGATTTAACACGGTTAGAAATTTTCTACGTGAAGTCAAGCTGCAGAAGATTTTTAGCATTGACTATGAAAGCGGCAAATAAATAATACACTGCCAGATCACACTGAGAAAGGCTAACAGCTGTTTCACTGAGAAGCTGAAGTTCCACTGAGAACGTGGGCGTTCATGCTCTGAGGCCAGTGCTGGAAATTCAGCGAGACCGTTTCTCCTTCGTTTTTTCCCCAACAGCAGTGCCCAAGTGCAGCTCCGTCCCTCCCACAGCTCGGAGGCCGGCACCGGGGGAGGCAGCCGGGTCCTCCTTCCCCAGAACTGGAAACGAAGCCTCACCTGGGGACAGCCGGCTCTGCGAACACGCCATCTCTCCCAGCAGAGCAGCCATCTCTCCACAGTTAAAGTAACGGTCAAAAGGAAGCTTCTGGCGGGCGACATGAAGGGGGGGAGGACGACTTTGGCGGTTCAGAACGATATCTTTCAGGCCGTATTTTTCCTTTATTTTGAACGTTGGTGTCGATTACCTGACTAGAAGCCCCAGTTACAGCAAGACCCCTGCCGTGTTCGCCAGTGCCAGCCACGAAGCCCGCCCTCCGGCGGCGGACACCGCCCGCTCCGCCGCGGCGGCTGACAGACCGGCGGGGCCCGGGCCCGCAGGAGCGGCAGAGCGACCGCGTCCTGACAGGAAACCAAGCCGGGGGACGCCGCGGGTCACGACCGAGCGTTGATGAAACGCCTTTTGTTAATTGAACTGAGGTAATCAAGCTGTTACAGCCGCCTAGCGCCGCCCGGTGACGTCACGGCCGCCTGACGCGGGAGGCGGCTCTCG